ACACTGTTAGATGAACAAATCCGAATCCAAAAGCCTAATTTCGAAGATCGAATCCAAAAAAGTCAATTGCGCAGCACGATTTCACAGCCACTGACACATTGGGCGCTATTTTTGGAAAACACACGCACGAAACCGGAAAAAAGTAATCAATCCTATTAGAGAATATTCTACTCTACACTGTTAGATGAACAAATCCGAATCCAAAAGCCTAATTTCGAAGATCGAATCCAAAAAAGTCAATTGCGCAGCACGATTTCACAGCCACTGACACATTGGGCACTATTTTTGGAAAACGCACGCACGAAACCGAAAAAAAGTATTGAATCCCTTCAGAGAAAATTCTACTCTACACTGTTAGACGAAAAAATCCGAATCCAAAAGCCTAATTTCGAAGATCGAATCCAAAAAAGTCAATTGCGCAGCACGATTTCACAGCCACTGACACATTCGGCACTATTTCTGGAAAACGAACGCACGAAACCGAAAAAAAGTCATCAATCCCAATAGAGAAAATTCTACTCTACACTGTTAGACGAAAAAATCCGATTCCAAAGGCCTAATTTCGAAGATGGAATCCAAAAAGTCAATTGCGCAGCACGATCTGAGAGCCACTGACACATTCGGCACTATTTCTGGAAAACGCACGCACGAAACCGAAAAAAAGTAATCAATCCCAAAAGAGAAAATTCTACTGTACACTGTTAGACGAAAAAATCCGAATCCAAAAGCCTAATATCGAAGATAGAATCCAAAAAGTCAATTTCGCAGCACAATCCGACAGCCACTCACACTTCCGGCACTATTTCTCGAAAACGCAGGAGCGAAACCGAAAAAAAATATCCAATCCCGTTAAGGAAAAAATCACTCTAAGCGAATCAATGGAAAAATTCGATTCAAAAAGACTAATTCAAAAACTAGAAGCCAAGAAAGTATATTGCGCAGCACGAACTGGCAGCCACTCACACTTCTGGCACTATTTCTCGAAAACTCACGCTCGGAACAGAAAAAAAGTAATCTATCCCGCTAGGGAAAATTCCTCTCTACGCTGATATATAGAACAAACTTAATCGAAAAGCCTAATTTCGAAGATAGAATCCAAAAAAGTGAATTGCGCAGCACGATCTGACAACCACTGACACATTCGGCACTATTTTTGGAAAATGCACGCTCGAAACCTAAAAAAAAATATCCAATCCCGTTAAGGAAGAATTCCCCCCTACGCCGATATATAAAAACCGGCGAAAAAACCTAACCGAAATACCTAATTTCAGAAATATAAGCGAGGAAAGTATACTGTGCGGATCGATTTCGCTGTCTTTTCCGTCTCATTATTTCATATATGCACCTTTAATCGTAACATTATTGCCCTACTGGTTGGAAAACAATCTATTCTATGCAGAAGTAATAAAATATCCTAATCCACAATCAATATTTAGAATGTAAAGGCGATAATACGTAACTATGTTCCATTTGAACGTCAAGATCGAAGTAAAATTGAGAAAAATATTAAAAAGCTGACTATTCAGAGTAATGTTGATCAAATATTCCAACAAACTGTCGAAATCTAGAATCTTCTGCAGTCGATAATAACGGACAATGCGTTAGATTTTAGGATCCCGCACTCAACCACTTCATTTCCCACATGTATCGTTATATGATTTGCACTATGCAACATCCCTTTTTTCACATGTAATATATGACCACCGAAGAAATATTCACAGTTAGTAATCTTGAACTTCGTAAAATAATTATAACGTCAATCAGCAATATCACTACTTCACGAAACATTTTAAGATTTAATATTTCACTTTGACGCGTGAAAATATTCCACCATTTGTTACCGGTATGCCCGCTTGCCGCCAACTGGAAGTTGGTGCAGCCGGATACGCTAGGTATTTTTGTAGCGGGAAAATCTTGCATCTTTGAAATAGCTATGTGATAAAGTATCGATGTAGAATATCAAACGATGTTTCTTATATTTATTAATATCAGTGAAGTAGATATAAATATACTTCTGTTACGAAAAATTCCAAATTTCTATAATTAATTCATGAACTTGAATTATTAAGTATTCCATTATATTGATAGAAAGATAAACACTTAGTATTTTCGTCAATGGTTCAAACACCCTATGCAATAATCACTAATAATGAATTAAATAACAAAGAATTCATATTCAGAATTATATTAGAAAGTTCGCTAAGGCTGTGCCTTTACGATGCAATTATAAAAGTTGATGAATTAATTATAGACGTACATGAAGTCACAGATGAAGACAAGTGATTTGTTCTTGATAAAAAAAAAAATGAAACCACGATAGTTATATGCTTAGGTACTTTTTATTCACTTTGAAAGTTTCACATATACACGTTAATTGTTAACGACATAATTCTTCGGTTCTTTTTTTGTATCTCTCAATTTATTTTTTATCCTTTCTACATTGCTCTGAAAATATAAATGTAAAACAGTCAATCAAAAATCCTAATTTTTATAAGATAGTTATAATGTAAACAATAAACTAACTCTTTCTCTTTATTTATAACTTCTAATTTTTCTTGAGTTTTTACTTCGTCGTCACTTTCCCAGTCGCTACTATGGTCTTCTTTTCTTTTTTTATTTGCAACTCCAGGTGGTTCAACAGCTGGTTATGAGCTTAATTTTGGATCAGTTAAATAATCATGAGCTGATTTGTCCTTACCACTTACAATTTTTTATTTAATATCACAGTTTCTTCTTCATCTTCCTCTACTTGTTCACCAAATGATAAAAGATTGAAATCTCTGTAACAAAATTTTTCACTGTAAAGAATAGTACTATCAGGACAAAATTCTGCAAACATATATGATTTTAATTTTACTGTTGCTGTTTTAGTTTTGGAATTGTCCCTTACTTCTTTGCTTTGCTGTACTATTATTCTTGGAATAATATCAGAAAATGGATTGTTCAATATTATAGTTTATATCAATCTTGAAGGATAAAGTGGTCTATCATTCTACAAAACAGAGGAAATATTAAATTTATATCAATTCTTGATATATTTTCTTGTAAGCATTAAATTTACCTCATCTATAAGTGCTTTTTCAAGTTCAAGCATGTTATATATAGTTTCTCCAGTAGAACTAAGAACTAAGAGTAAAGAAAAATTGGGAACTATTGTTATCTTTTCCAGCATTAGCCATAGCAATTAAATCTCGCGAACAAAATGTAATCTTGTATGAAATTTGTCCTGAAACACATATAACCAATAATTATTTTTTAATAAAGAAGGAATTCATTTTATTTATGAATATAATCTCACTGTAAATGGTTCTCCATACGTGTAACCACCTTCTCCTGTACCTGTGGGATCACCATCTTGTGTTATGAATCCTTTGATAATTGTATGAGATATAACGTCATCCTAATAGTATGCCTTTGGAGTCTTTTTGCCCATAATTCTAACTCAATACCACCAACAGTTGTTTTCATTATAACCTAGTTATAACAAATATATTAGTTTTATTAATGTAAAATACTTTTAAAATCAAATTTATTAAAATTTACTATTTATTATTGTAATTCAAATTAGAAATTATTTAATCCATTGAAATATTATTAACTAATACTTATTACTATACCCTTAGTAGTTAGCTCTTGCATATAAATATTACTGATGTTTGTAAGTCTCCTATAATAAAAAAAAATCCTTCGTCAATAATATTTCATATTAAATCTTTAGTCATTTATAAATCAGTCAACCAAATGGTTCTTTTCCCAAATAATCATCAGTAGGTAAGATGTACCTTTTACTTCCTTTTGATGTTAGCTTTATTGGCTCAATCAATCCCATGTGCCACAGCCCCATTATTCTTACTGCTTTTATACTTTCGAAGTTCTTATAGATATTTCTACACATTTTTGTCTTAATGCAACATTTACGTTCTATATTCAATTTATCTTTACCTTTTATAGCTATTACCAGTTGCCCATTCTCCATCTCTTCAATGATTATTATTCTTATTATGTCGATGCTACACATCTTTCTCTAACACCATTTGAAATCTGTTGAAAATAAATCTGTAATTAAAGAAGTAATAAAACTTTAATCATAAATATTTCAAAAACTATGCAGTAGTTGCAACTATAATATATTTTTTTGAACTGCACGACAAAATCTACAAACCTGTAAAGTTTCAACCAAATCAATGACCCGAAGGACTTATGCTCTCCTTGTTGATGCTATACTTTACTGGCTTGATGCCGCTGTTTTGTTAAAGGGGTAAAGGGGGTATTTCACTCATTCCCCCTACATGCTCAACTATTATCAGGTTCAGTAATGTTATACATTAATATAGACGTAAGATATCCGTAAAATTCCTATACTCGAATAATACATTGCAAGTGTACGAATATGAGAGTAATACTGCACGAGCAAAATATGATTATTTTCATTTATATTTCATAAATATTGAACACATATTTAATATGTGTATGAAATACAAGTATAGTTAAATAAAATTCGGAAATGAACATTTATTAGAAGAATCTGAAGTTAATGCTTTAGGCATAAGTCTACGCTCTTGCATCTATTTCTTGCGTCTGTCTCACTTTGTCTCGAATGTTTTATTCGCTTTCTTTGCCACACGGTGCTATAGAATCAGGCTAATAGGAAGGGATCATTCTGCCAATGAGGGAAGCGGTTGACTCTACTTCTGTCATAGCGTTAAAGTGGGTGGGTTGATGAGGGTTAGTGGGGATTTGGTCCTACGTTTTGCTCAGTGGTCTTCTCGTTTGCAACGCATAGTACGCAGGCGTTTATTCAATACGATATTGATTTGAATGCGCAATATCATATAACGATAGTCGTCCCATTCGGAAATGCGGATACTGCTGTTTGTAACTTGACATACTCTGTATTACGAAGGTATTGTTCTAAGAGTTGTCATAGTGAAGAAAATAGTGCATAACAGAAAAAAAATTAAGACATGGTTGGACCAAATATTTCTTTGTGACTAACCGTTCCGGAAGGTGGAACAATTACTGTACAGGGCGCATCCTTTAGGACACCTTCCGAACACGAGCGTATAAATTCGGAACTCGCAACGCTTTGCAAAGTAAGTTAAAATAAAAACTCTTTATTATATAAAAATATAATATATATATACAAAAACATTGAAATGTATAGAGAGCAAAAAATAATTTCCTATCGATTGCTTAAAGTAAATAACGATTTTTCTAATTAAAAAAATTTAGATTAAAAAGTTTTAATTGGAATACCAATTTTTGAATTGAAGTTAAACATTTCAGAAATTAAATTATTAATTAAAAATTTGTAATTTTTAAGCTCTAATTGAGATAAACATTAATTTTAGGTGTATCCTGTAAGCCCTGTAACAGGGCCGGGTGCAGCAAGATCCGTATGGGAATTAAGTCCCGATCCCGACATGGTCGGGCATCTACCGAATACTCCAATTTCTAGCACTACTCATCAAAGCCAAGGATCAGCTAAAGGCTCTGAATTACCATCAAGAAATGGTCCCGATGACAATATTTATACTGACGAAACTGCTCCAGGTCAAACACCATCGGATGAGACGAAACGAATTTTCGAACTTCTTAGATCCAGGTACCGAATTATATAGTATTACATTCTTGAATATAATTTTATTTGTACGAGTAAATTTGAAAGTCAATTAAATTAAATTTTTTTCTTTTAGTGAAATTGGAGCAGTCGATGAGTTGGTAGAAAAGAACGGTTTAAGTGTATTAAGTGCAAGGGATGAATGGGGATATACACCCGCTCATTGGGCTGCTCTGGATAGAAATATTGAAGTTAGTTGGTATAAATAAATTTGGTTTGCAGGGGAAATATTTGCTTTTTGATAAAAAGAACACTTATTATTATCTTACAGGTGATGAGATACTTAATAGAACGAAATGGACCAGTTGACCTTCCATGTCTTGGAACTCAAGGACCAAGACCAATACATTGGGCTTGTCGGCAAGGTCATAGTGCAATAGTTCAGCTACTACTAAAGGTATGTAAATCAACAACTTATATGACATTACATGAAATTATAAGCATATTTATTAATTTATAATAAACATTTAAATTATTTTCAATCGCTTTTAGGCAGGGGTTGCTGTTAATGCAGCAGATTTTAAAGGTTTAACACCTCTCATGACTGCATGTATGTTTGGAAGATTTGTAACAGCAACAGTTTTATTAGGATCTGGTGCATTAGGACATTTAACAGATATAAATGGAGACACTGCTCTTCATTGGGCTGCATATAAAGGACATGCAGAATTAATAAGATTACTTATGTATAGTGGGGTAGATTTACAAAAACCAGATTACTTTGGATCCACTCCACTCCACTTAGCATGTCTTTCTAGAAATGTCAGTTGTGTTAAAATATTATGTGAGAAAAGCAAAATCGAATTAGAACCTCGTGACAAAAATGGTAAAACACCGCTACAGTTAGCGAAAAGTCATCGACATTCAGAGATTGTAAGAATATTACAGGCTGAACAAAAACGGCGAGCTAGATGGATTCCACCTATTAATGAACTTTGGTTTGTATTTTGCCTTTTGCAATTTTATCAATTAATATATAGATATCTCTTTTAAGGGCGTTGCTATTTGGTGGTGCTGGAAATAGTAAAGGTCCTATATTACTATTTATGATATCTGTCCTTTTATGGGGATATCCAATGTATTTATTAAAATGTATTCCATTAACATGGAATCTTTTACGTGGTAGTCATTATTGCTTTATTTATTGGAATATTGTTATGTGGATCTCATGGATTGTAGCAAACAGAAGAGATCCTGGCTATGTACCACAGAATACTGAAACCTACTATAGAGCAATTAAACAGGTATTTTATAATTTCATTATTTGCTATAAAATATTGTATAATTATTTTATTAAATATTTTTTAACTTCAGATTCCATATTATGATAAGTGGAAAAAAAGGAATGTAGTATTATCTCGTTTATGTCATAGTTGTAGATGTTTTAGGCCTCTGAGAGCTAAACATTGCAGAATCTGTAATAGATGTGTTACATACTTTGATCATCACTGTCCATTTATATATAATTGTGTTGGTTTGAGAAACAGGTAAATTATGAGTCAATTTATATATGTATAATTATAAAGACAATCCAACTCATTTAATTTATATTCTTCAAATAGCTATTCATTATAATTAATCAATTATTATTACAGAATGTGGTTCTTTCTTTTTGTTATGTGTGTAGCAATAAACTGTTCATTTACTATTTATTTTGCTTGCTACTGTATGGCAATTGAAGGAATCCAATTATTATATGTATTAGGCATATTAGAAGCATTAGTATTCTGTGGACTTGGATGGATTTTGACATGCACTTCAGTAAATATAAAAATTTCTTTTGATTTAATATCAAATATCATACTTATCTAAATTTATAACAATTTCCTATTCCTTACAGCTACTGCATGCATGTATGAATTTAACTACAAATGAAATGTTCAATTACAAACGATATTCGTATTTAAGAGACAAGAAAGGAAGATATTTAAACCCCTTTAGTAGGGGTCCTGTACTTAATTTTATTGAATTCTTTCTTTGTCCACCAAATCATCAAGCAAATGATCCTCAAAATTATCATATACTTTCAGAAGATATCATGTAAATAATATTAAATTATAATTATTATTTTTTTAGTAATGCTGCACCTTTAAGAAAGTAAAGATGTTATTAATTAAACAATTAACATTATATCGACTGTAACATATGTACCTGCACATAATCTTCATGATTATTGCTTTTAATATTATAGCTTTTTACTTATGGTATTAAATAAAAAGAATGATTCAATAAATAATTTATTAAGTTATATTTAAAAATTTACTACATCTTTAATATAATTTCTTCAAAAATGTCTATTCAACATGATTTAAAACAAAGTTTTGTCACGATTACAATGATTTAGTTACAAAACTTACTAGAAGAATCATGTTTAATATTAATTTTTTAATTTTACTTATTACTATTAAATAAAAAAGGATATACTATTACGTAAATATAAATTGATATATACAAATAATTTTGCAAATGTTATATATATAACTGGTATATGTAAAATGTATCTTTGGTAAAATATACTGTTCTTTTACCTAATTAAAATATCTGCGATTTAATTCATATAATTAAAAGTTTTGTGTATTGTGTTGAAACAATACTGTAAAAATAATTTGTTTGTATAAAAATTATAGTTTTTATAGATTAAAACTTGATTTTTGTTTTGGTAAATATCTAAGCATTTTCTTATCAATAAATCTTAAGTTGAATTTTTATAACAATTACTGAGTATAAGACGAAATTCTTACTTCAATTCGTAGCAAAAATCATAATTTGGCGGAGGATCTGGAATTGCAGGCGGATCTTGAGGAATATCAATTCCTTCTGTATCCAAGAGTCTCAATTTAATATCCATAGATAATAATGTTTCCAGGTCATTTTCTGCCTCTTTACTGGTCATTCTATTACCTGCAAATAACGTATGTTTCTTTGGATCTATAGAAAAACTAATCTAAATTACAAATAATGATGCTACATACCAAGTAAAGCATTAATACCATCGGTCCAATAATCGAAAACTTGTTCATCAGGAGCAACAAAATCTAGGCTTGAAACTTCTACAGAATCTAGAATTAAGGAGAATGCTAACTGATGCGTAGTTTTTCGTCTCTGCAAGTCTTTCATATGTGGGCAATCTCTGCCAGTCAATAAAGCACGAATTTCAACTACAGCTAATTTTGTAGGAAGTTCATCTATTGTTGGTACTGATTTTTCATCACAATCACCATAATGAAATACTTTATGATTTGGTGAAAGCCGAACATACCAGAATTTATCCTTGATTCTCTATATTACAATGTTTGTTACAAATATGAAGTATTTAGAAATTATTTGATATAACTACAATATTCTGTAGAATAACAATTATTACCTGTCCTCTAGCACTATACTTCATAAATCTAGTGCCTTCTACTAAAAATCCTAAGCGTTGTTGTTGAATAAGCTCTAAAATTTCAGGTGTAATTTGTTCTCTCAGTTCAACTATTGGCCTTGCATGACTTTCCCATTCTTCTCTACTAGTTCTTTCTTGTTGCCATAAATTAGTAATCGTTGAATACGTTAATTGTTGTAATTTATTTTTGAATTTATCCAATCCTGTAGGTTTACATTGAAGTGCTCTTGTGATTTGCTCTCTTACAACAGAAAACACTTTTACAAAATCCTCAGTAGTGGCTCTCATTTCTTTCCAAGTTTTATTTAGAAGAACTATGCATACACAGTAGAATTCTTCAAATGGATGATCATGTGTAAAAAACATAGGATGATATGATTGCCCTTGTTCACTGGGTGCTTCTCCAATACGTAGAACCTAATCAAATTCAATAATAAATTTAATTTATACAAACTATTTACACTGTTTTATACTTACTTCACAAAGTAATTTAACAAGTTCCACACTTGTCCTACCAAAGGGACATTCATGTTCATCTGCTCTGCAAGAGTTTTCTAGAACAACTTTAGTATAAGCTTCAGTATGATTCCGTGCAAAATAAACCATGCAATCTAAAGCAAGCATGCCAGGAGGAGTTTCAGTAAAATCAAGAGCAGGATTAATATCATATTTAAAACCCAGTTTTTTGTAGTCTTTAGCGAAAAGGCCTTGTTTTCTAGCTGTAACGTCTCCACCTATGGCTCCTTCAGTATCAAAAGCAATTCTTCGAAGTTCTTTAATTTTGTCATGTGCATCTTGATCTTGTGGATCCATATTTGTCATCATACGCTGTTCCCACAAACTTAACATAAGTGTTTGTAATACATATAATTGATGTGCCATTTCTGCACCAACCTATGTTAAAATTTAATTCTATGATAAATTTGTACAAATATATTGTCCAAAAAAGATTTCATATTTCATACCTGACCAGTAGATTGTATAATATTTGTTAAAAATAAATTTCTAACTTGTTTAGATTGGAGAGTTGCAGCAACAACTCTACGTTTACATAAATCAGCCTTAAGAAATAAAGCATTTATGAGAGCTATTGCATTTTGTTGTATCTGTGGACGTGCACTTTGTAAATGCATCACTAAATTAGGAAAAGTTACTTCTTTTTCAACTTGTCCATATTTTCCTGAAGAATTTAATACTATATTTTCAAGAATGCTAAGTGAAGCTTCAATAATACTGGTATCTTGGATTACAGCTTGATTGTTTACATAACTTGCTACTTTATTAATAAAGGGTGTTTCTAATATATCCCATGAGACAATTCCATGGTCCATTAGTTCTACAAATGACTGAAGTGAATATGCAAGTGCATTTCCCTTATATTTTTCACCTTCCACCTTTAAAGAGATATATAAACTATAATAAAATATAAAATAATATAATTAAATTAAAGAGAAATATTTGAAATACCTGTGATATAATTAAAGCTAATCCTTGTTTATTAATAAATTCTAATGCAAATGTCATATCTGTGCTAAGGGTGCTTAATTTTTGCAAAGCAGCAGTTTTTTCTTCCATAGTCCCATTGTTAAGTTTTGCTAAAATATCACAAGCTGTTTTTGAGGGGGAGAATTCTAATCTTAAAATACTACCATTTTTTACTTCATTACGATTTTTTTCCGTGATATAATTTTTATTATTATTTTCTGAAAATTGTAACGAATACGATTCAGGATCAGAAAGACCCCACGCATTGCATAGTTCCTAAGAAAAATAAAATATATTATTTGCGTTTTATAAATCCTTATATTAATATATATAATTCGAAATTAATTTTCTTAAAAGTCATTGATAAAATTGTGTACTTACTATATTTATATGTAAAAATTAAATTAATATTTGATTTTACATACTTGAATAATTCCAGTAAGAGGATGTTTTTGATTAAATTCAATGAGTTGTGCTACTTGTTCCGTCATCTGAACAGCAATTTTCACGATATTTGAATCCTTCTGAACCGGCATTTTTATTGTTTGCGTGTACATGAAGAATTCAGAAGCAATTTTTAACTTTAACGAAATCAAGAGATACTAAAACAGCCGGTCCAGTCCGTTTTAAGAAATATTACAGATTTGACGTATCTCTTGTCATAACAACGTGACGGCCATCATGCTAGTTTTATATTAAATCAAGACGTCTAACGGTCTCGCCCCACTACGAAACATTTAATAAAATGTATATAAGTACTTATATATATGTACATATTTCCTAATGACTGATATGAGACGTTACGCGCAGGTCAGGAAACATTCCCGAGTTTTATATATTTTAGAAATTTAAATTTAAATTACATAGATTTGTGTAATTCTGGTGACAATTTATTATTATCTTATTTAAATAAACTACAACACTGTTTACAAAATTTTTTTATTTTCAATTCTTTTACATGTGTACTTATATTGCATGATTTTATAAAATATTCATTCCTTTTATATTTGTTTAAATTCAAAAATTCATATACAATTTATTAAAATTAATAATTAGTTACATATGACATGCAAAAAAATTTACAAGATATAATGAACTAACCATATTATAAATTGTATTCTACAAAGCATAATAAAGGGGTTATTTGCTTTGTGCAATTCTTTAGATTAATTGTTTTTCTTATATACATTTAAAATTTGTTTATCACACATATAACCTACATTCTAATTATTATCAATTAATCATAATTCATACAATTTCTTAACATAATTGTTTTATCAATTGACATAAGAGTAGATTGTAATAAAGAAAGGTCAACAAATATCAACAAATATTCTATCTTGAGTTCTAAAATTTCCAATCCCATGGAATACATAATACACCATCACTCATAACAGAATAATAATGTGTTATCCAAAGCATAACACCTTTCAATAAAGGAGCTAAAATCTTTTTATGCAATAATAAACGTTCGCAACATTGTATCATTAAATCAGGGGTAATACTGTCATCCTTATTTAAAACAGTCAATCCCAATTCTTGGACAGTTTTATCATGAAGTTCATGTTCTACATGTTTTATGCTGTAAAAAAGAAAGTATTTAAAAGAATGAATAAATATTTTAAGCTAGATCATAAGATGATCTTACTTATTGTAATGATGTAATCTTTTAGTAGCTTCTTCTAAATTATCAGTAATAAAGTTTACTAAAAGGAAACTTGGACACGAAGATGGAACTATAAATTGCCCAGTAGGAGAGAGCATAAGGGGACCTGCTTCACTGAAAGTAATATTCATTTAATTATTTATACCTTACTTTAAATTGATATTACATTATACTTACAAATAAATTGAATCAGTTAAATTTATATCCTATTTACAAGTAAACAGAAAGGAAATACATATAAAATATTAAATATCACGGGTAATACTAACGCTTCAATTACAATTTCATAAGCAGATAAATTAGCTGGCCACACTTTCGGATAATTCCGTCGTCCTCGATAATCCGAGAGGGTTGTGGTAAGTTGACGAAGCTGACGTTCATACTGGCTAACCATTACTTTCGGCATGAATTTCCTGCACATATAGAGTACCCTGAGCCTTACCCTTATTCAATTAATATGTTGTATTACGCACCGTCGACCAACTTTAATGTCAAGAAGCACTTGTGAAACTGCCTTTTCAAAAGCTGGTAATCTTAATAATACCACATCATACTTCTGAATATTTTTAATTAACTGAAAAGATAGATATTTGTTTAATAAAATAAAATATAATAAATGTTACATAAATAATAATTGCAATTAATAATTTATCCTTACATCAAGCCAATTGTGCCTAATTTCACCTGAATTTAACATGACATTTCCTTCTAAGCTAATGCCTGTATCATTAGCAAATACAAGTGTCCTATTTTTGAGTACCTCCATCGGTTCAGGATGATGTTCAGCTAATGCTTTAAAAGCTAATAAACACCCTCTGTAATGAGCTATGTTCCATCCACAGTCCCATATAATGTTTTTTAAACCTAATTCAGAGCATAATATTTTTTCTAACTTTTGTACTTCCTCCCTTATTGGTCTACATGCTTCTAACTTCACATGTACTTCGTTAATATGTTTATCTAAATATGCTCTATAAAACCATAATTAATTTAAATTTTTTAATATTGTAAAAATAAAATAAATAGAATTGATAATATCTTACTTAAAAGTATCAGGTTCTGCATTAATTTTCTTTTTCATTAAAATAGATGCATAAATGGGATCATCTTCTAGTTCTGAAAAATCTATATCCTCTCCAACACCTTTTCTTTGCCAAAATTTTGATTTGTATTGTGTACTTTTTGGTGGTTTTTGTTCTTCAATTTGATCTACAAATGTTGTTGGCAAATCACATGTCTTCAAAATAGAGAGTATAGTTTGTCTTAGATCTTTTTCTTTTAATTGTATCTGAACTAAGGTAAATTTTCCAGCTTTAAGTTCTTTTTCATTTTTGGAACGTAAGTAGAATGGTAAAGTTGTAGGTCTTACTGGTCTTTGTTGTTGTAAATTTTCTATAATAGAACTTAACTGTTTTAAAGAATTTTCATTTACTGTCTGAAACATTTAAAATCATAAAAATTATATTTAATGTATTTAATATATATTTGAGTTATTATCTTGTAACTTATAGAAATTGTGTTAGCCTTTTTATAATGTAATAGATTTATTTATATAAAAACATTATATGCATACAGATATGCAATAATCATTGCACTTCCTTTCTTCTATAAATAATCTTAACTATAATCAAACGATAAACTGCGTTGCCGACACTTGATTGTCTTAAATCGCTTATGATCTAAAAATCTAGTTTTTATAAGATATCCAAATTATCATAAATTAATATATTTACTCTTTGTGTGGGATATTGTCCAAATAGATCGGGATGCACGGTAAAATAAAAAGGTCGTAGTGCAGTAGATACTTCACCCGTACTTAAAGCTCTTACTGCATTTTTTCTACAAAAGCTATGAAAACATCGTTAATTCGTTTTAAATAAAAAACATGATATGATACAATTATATTTTGACAATGTAATCAAACAAACATGTTTACCATTTCCGCAATGCACAATACATTTTTGTAGTTTATTGTAATGTCATCACACGTTCATATTACGAAAGATTTGCAATAAATATCGCATTTACCACTCATCAAATTTACTAAACACACTACATTTATAAATAATAAATTTGTCTCACATTGGACTTAGAATATGATTTTTTAGATATATAATCTACATAAAATCTACTAATATACTTCCCTATACAACTGTCTTTACGTTGCACCAGTATGCAAACTCGAATAACATTGGACTTGAACCTCTTCTTTTTGACTAATCAATGGTAGGATCTATACAGTGTAGAGGTACATGTATAGACATCAGTATACGCATCCATTAAAAATAAATAATTCGTTATATTTGATCGGTTAAATTACCGTTCATTATGCACAACATAAAGATCAATTTTTATCAATAAAACAAGTAATAATAAACTTAAAACCTACTTTGAGTATGTTTTTTGTTTTCACGCGATGCATTGCATTGTTTTAACAATACGTCATTACCACTAATACGGTATGTCTAATTTATGTACTGTACCAGCTGTTCTTGCATCTGTAGATGTAAACAAGTACATAATGAAAAACGCAGAGCATTAGGATTGATATAATACTAATGCCACAGCATTTGGCTTTGCATCTGTGCTTAGTCACAGGTGGTCAAGGAAATGGCTTATCTATATGTGTATATATATATATATATATGTATATATAAAATGTCAAGTCTCTCGGGATTTTAAAACAATGTACTGAAAATATTATCAATCGTTTTCCAGACATGGTTTATTAAACATGGTCTCCGGCAATTTCAGTAATACGTTCAATGCAATATCTAAAAGAGCTCATAGTAGTTATCTGTCAAAATGTGAATAATTATTGTTTGATATGTGTATGAATTATTAAGTACAAATTTTGTAGCAGCTATATAATGTAAGTACAAAATAAATGTAATTATGTTCAATTAACTTTATTGAATATGAAAATTTTTAATTTTATAACAAATTCATTTAATTTGTTATATTAAATATAATATATGATCATATTTGGGAGTTTTGTGTAACAATTTTTTTATATTTTTTAGTTTCATTATGTCCTATTCTATCAATAGAAGGCCTTTGCTAAAAGGTGCATCGGATAGTGAATTTGAAGATGATTTAGAAACTGAGGCTGATGATCCAAATATTTCTGTTCCAGATGCAAAACCATTTTTAAAGCAATATGAACCTTGTGACAAGTAAAACCAGCTTAAAATAGTTTTATTTGTTAATATAAACACATGTTACATATTTTTCTATTTTAATCTAAGTTTATAAAAAATTTGTATAATTTTAAAGATATCTTTTCTTTTCAGATATAATCTTACATACATTGTTTTTTATATACTTGGTATGAATACATTAGTTCCTTGGAGCTTTCTCATCACAGCTGATGATTATTGGATGTATAAATTTCGGGAAATACATGTAAATTCTACGAAAGATGTTAATTACACCCATTTAGAAAATTTAGAAAAAAGAACTGACCTTCAAGCTAGTTTTACATCGTATTTAAGTGTTGCAAGTGCACTATCAACTACATTTTTTTTAATTATAAATACATTTATGAGTAAAAAGTAAGTAAAATATATAATTATAATTATTCAATAAGATGAGAGTAATGTAATATGTAATTTAAAAAAAATATTAAAATATATGAAAAATATCAAAATAATAGAGTTCCCTTAAGGATAAGAATGATGGGCTCTCAATGCACAATATTATTATTGTTCATCTTGACAACAATATTTGTTAAAATAAATACAGATAAATGTAAGTTATATGAATGAAAATACTAGGTATAAAATTATGCAATTAACATTTAAAGTAAAATACCAACTCTATTTTTAGGGCAAGAAACATTTTTATCAATTACTTTATCCACAGTGGTATGTGTAAATGGTACATGTTCAGTATTTAAGATATTATTATATGTTATGATAGTCAAATTAGATAATAAAATCAAACTTTTTTATATAGCTGCAAGTGCAATTTTTGGGGGAAGTTTAATGGGTATTGTTGGACGTTTTTCTCCAAAATATATAACTGCTATGCAATGTGGACAAGCTCTTGGAGGAATTATTACTGCCATAGCAGAAATATGTTCCTTATGGATTGGTGCTAGTCCTGTAGTTTCAGGCCTAGTTTATTTTATTATTGGAGATGTTATATTATTTTTATCTTTGGTGGCATATGTAATGTTAGAAAAGACAGTAAGTAATTTAGCATTTTAATAAGTATACAATACTGATATTTTTCATACATGTGTTTTATAAGTGGCTTATGGTAATAGGATAAAATGATAATCAGATAACGCTTAATTTATTATATAATATATTATTTATTACAAAAAAGAATTAAATTACAGTATAATATAAATATCATTTATATTTTACTATAGAAATTCTTTAAGCATCATACAGTAGAAAAATTATCCGAAAATGTAGAGGCAGATTTTTCGGTAACTGGGGAAGTAACTTTTCCACACGGCACTACAGTATCTTACATGCGTATTATTAAAAGAATTTGGCATTATGGTATTAGTATACTTTTAGTATCTTTTGTATCTCTTTCTGTATATCCAGCACTTACTGTATTAGTGGAAAGTCAGTATAAAGGCAAAGGTTATGCATGGAATGGTAAGTTCTGCAATTAAATAAGTTCTGTTATAAAATTTTTATGATTTATATATCTGTTGTAGATATCTATTTTGTACCTGTGGTGACCTACTTCATTTTTGGTACTGGAGATTTTGCTGGAAGAATATTATCAGGTGTTTTTCAGTGGGTATGTACAAAAAGCATTTGAAGTTATATCAAATTTTTTTACAAGAATAAAATTTAAATGGTTTAATATTTTAGCCAAAACATAAACCATGGCAAGTTGTATTTTTAAGTCTAATAAGAGTTATTTTTATACCAGTTTTCACGTTTTGTAATGCACAGCCACGATATCATCTTCCTGTTTATATTCATAGTGATCTCTGTTACATTTTAATAACTATAGTATTTGCTATCAGCAATGGTTATTTATGTAATTTGACATTTATTTTAACTCCTACGTAAGTTATAATATTACATATATTAATTCAATAAATTGTTATTAATTTTGTACTAAAGATTTTTAAACAGAGTTGTAGATTCACAAGAAAAGGAAATTGCATCTACCATGATGGGCGGATTTCTTGGGATGGGATTAATATCAGGCGCTGCATTCAGTTTGTTCATGGTTAAAGCAATTTAGTCACAAAGAAAATATATAAATGCAGGCATTTATGTCACTGCCCCCTGTATATTCAAAATGAATAGGACCACAGGACACGATGTCCGATCGTATTGAATGGATGTATTTATTTTATACATCATGACAAAATTAATGTTTCGCATATTGTAGTAAATTATTCTTTAAGTTTCTCTACAATGAAATTTGTCCATTCCATGAATGTGTAAAATATTTTATCTATAAATGGGAATAATTGTGTCTATCTAATGACATATAATAGATTTGAAATATATATAGACATTCAATAAATAATATGGACAAATATAATCACTCATAACTAAAATAATGTACTTATTTTTAAGAAATCAGAGTACAATAAATTATGATAAATATGTTGATCGAAATCTTTAATTTTTATTGAAACTCAGGATATAATATAATATATGTAACACTTTGTATTTAGCTATAAGTATAAATAATAAAAAAATATAGTTAAAATTGTAGTTAATATTGCTAAATTCTTTGAACTAAATATGTTTTGCCATAAAAAAGGTGTTGTATTGACACATTATGGTTTTTGTGTATTATCAGTAATACAATAAATATATTAAATAATCTCTACAAATTTTTGTAATTAGAAATATGTAAAATTAGGTATATATCGATGAATGTAATCATTACAACATATACTTCCTTTTTTTATTTTTAATATGTCAATATTTCTGTATATATTGGAGTAGATATAACTAAAACTAGAAGCAATGAACTAAAACTATTTATTGTTTGTATTTAGTTCACAGAAAAAAGTGGCTCTCTTATTGGAGCATACATGTATCTCATGAAGGATATTGTTTATCTTTACTAGTTAATGGAACAAAAACTACACCTGTAAGAGATTTTTGCTTGATTTGTCCATCCATTGTTTTGTCAACCTGTACCAATGTTTGATCTAAGTTTCTTGGACCCACTGGTAACACTAAACGTCCTCCAGGAGCTAATTGATCAATTAACTACATAAAAAATATTTTCATAAGTACAATAAATTTTTGCATAACATTAAAGGATTAAATTTTCTCTTACAGCTTGTGGCATTTCTTTAGCAGCAGCTCCTACATGAATAGCATCATATGGTGCTTTTTCTGGATATCCTAATCTTCCATCTCCAACTAAAAATATTAATTATATAATGTATATCTTATTTAAATAAATAAAAAGAAATATATATATATACATATATAGGAAACATAAAATCAACTAACTTACCAACTAACTGAATACGGCCACTTCGAAGAAGTTCTGGGTTGTCCTTTTGAATATTTTCTCTAGCAAATGCTTCAAGTTCAGGGATATGATCCATACCTATAGCTAATCCATTTGGCCCTATCATAATTGCCATGCATGCTGTTAAATACCCAGAACCAGAACCAACATCTAATGCTCTAGCCCCATCACATAATTTATCTTCAAGAATTTCTAAAGCATATGCATGCTAAACAATTTCATTTGATTAATTTCATTACTATATTTTGAATACTACATTTAAATTTAGAAAATATGTACCATATGAGGAGCACTTATAGTTGCACCATAACCAATGCCCTGTGGGGAATCTATATATGGATAGCTAGAACGAGTATAGTTTCCTCTATCTACAGAAGACATTGCTTCATAAACTCTATCAGATTTAATTATTCTTGATGCTAAATTAACAAGATACATTATTACATATAATTCTTTCCTATTATAGATACAACTTAAATGTTTTTAATGTAATATGTAATCTATGTAATATAAAAGTTACAATAATTGTATTTATATTACTTACATTTAAGATGTTGTATAAGATCATGATTGTTTTTTGCATGAAATCTCCCAGACCAAGCCATTTCGTATGCAAATACCGAAAATAATAAACTTATCACTATGAAAATAAAGCACGATAAATACTGGAACTGAATTTTGAGGCCGTAAATTACAATTTCTTAAAACATCCAACAAAATATTGTTGCGAGATATCACTTTCTAAATTTATCAGAATTATTAATGTAGTTAAATCTATTAAAATTTATATGTATGTATTAATATTGTATAATATTTGTATACATTTCTTTTAGTAAACGTCATAAATATTTTTACGTTAAATTTTTAAACATGCGTATGCTTTATTAGTATTCAATTAAATAGTAGCAGTTAAATTGAAACCAGAATTGAATGTAGTTTATCGTCCAAAATATAAATTGATCTCAAATATGAATTTTAGTTTCAAGAAACGTATGTAACGTAATCAATTTACAAATTTTAGTAAATGCTTTCTGCATACACATATTATAAACTTCTAGCTAAATAAAACTGTATCACTACTCCAATGGGCACATAACCAAAGACGAGAAATATACAACGCAGACATAACATAACAAATGAAGTGACATAAGTTGTATTATTGCGCAATATGGCAACAGGACGGAGATTCGCCAACTTCCTTACTATCGTTAAGGTATTTTCAGTATTACCAATACAGCATATGATAATATTACAGAATTATTAGTAGTTGGAAGTAAATCTAAATTCAATAATGAAATTATAAAAAATATATAGAGCAAAATATTTTATAATTATAAACAAACTATAAAATTCTAAACTGTATAATATACTTATACATTGAAATGGGAAATGGATGGAGATTCTAAATAAAAATTATTTTGTTTTTAATTTACTTAATTTTGATATAGGAAACAAATTTGTTACTTTTAAAATTGTTAATTGCATTATAAAATGTCCTCTTTCATTTTTATTTCGTCAATATTGATCGAATTGTGATTCTACATATATATGTATGTATCTAGGTTTAAGGCATTAATTACATTTGTGTGAGAATTCAAGATGTTGCTAATAAAACTACCTAATACTGACTCTACTTGTTCTGTGTAATGAAAGATAGGCTATAGATCATCGATTTCCTACAATGTCTTTACAAGGGAGTCTTTTACACGGATTGCAGTATTTCTATTAACGGTCTATTAGTATGTCAGAGCGACACTTACTTTTCTATTTACATGTTGACAAAAGTAACAATTTCTCTGAATAGATAGATCGCTGATGAAACTTTAAATTTGCGATACATGGTAAACATCCAATGTCCAAAATTGATCGTAGATATTATATAATATATGACTTTAGTGGCAGTTTTCGTATCAAAAATACGCTTGTTCAACTTAAAGAGCTATTAGTTAATTTAAAATTATGGCGCGCCCGAAAGTAACAAGTTCACGATTATTCGAGAGATCGATTAACTCACGTGACACACCTTAAATACAAGCTAACCATTGTTCAGCACCCTCTGTCGATCGATTCTCGTCAATACACGCTGCCATGACTCACACGAGACAAAGATTGCTACTGAACCACTGATACCCCTGGGAACAATTTGAAGATACTTAGTGAGACCTTGTAGTCAGAATTATTAGAAAGAATTATTCCATAAGGATTATTCCATAAGGATTCCATAAGGATTCCATAAGGTCTGACAGTAGGCACGTTATGCGTATTTGCAATAGAGCACTCAGAACAGATTAGCTCGTGACGTTTTGTTCGCCTTTCAAAATATTATACAGAATGCTCTTTGTGGGAACACTTCCTAGAATATTTGATTTTTTCAGGAAATCGCTTGTTCATTCGTTCAGTCGAGCACAAACTAAATACTTATTTCTTTTTTAATCATTCGACACGAATGTTTCGTAGTTTGTTGACCCCTATGATGTTTAAAATTTCGGTTTGCTTTGTAATATTGAGTGGAAGCGAAACCGAAGTGGTTTTGAATTTGTCCCCGTGAAATCGGTGAGCGGGGCGTCAGTTTACCGAAGAAAGTTATAGAGACAAGACGTATTATTTCATTCGAAGTGCGTGACCAATCAGATGCGTAGTAGATCCGTGGTTATTTCGTTATCATTTGCATACTCATTAATTTCGTTTAATCAATATGCCGGTATTTAATCATTTATCAGACATAATGAAATTTAAATAGTTTCTTAAGTTGTTTCTATTCCTTTTTCTTTAATCGTATTTTTTGTCATTCAAAATTACCGACAGCGTGTATTATCAGCTTTTGAAATAGTAGGTAAGTTGAGTTTGGTTATTGGTACATTTTGTCATAATTGGTTTCGAGTTTATATATTAATTTTCAATCTCTAATTTTTACATAACTTGATGATTTATTGGGTCATTTTCATTCATTATTAAAATCGTAACCTATAAGTATAGATTTTTATTTTATAGTTCTTAGGATAAAATGTTGTGTTTAAAAACTTGAAAAAATATAATATTTACTGAAGCTTTCTCTATAACATATCACGTGATTTATAGAAGAGGTTATGGTGTTATAACCATTTGATCGTATACATCACAAAATTAGTTCGATCAAATTCTATCACTCAAGTGATCTATCTGAAATAGATTACAAGATGATGGTAGTTCCTTTTAGTGCCAACTTTCAAACAAGTTGGGTGCATAAAGGTAATATATTATATTGAAAATAACATTAAAAGTAACATTATATTTATACCAATCTAGAATGTATTGGTGAAGATGAATAAAGATAAATTTATTTTACATGTCCATAGCATATCCGAATTTTCATCAGTTATGTTATTACAGTTTCTGATTTTATCGTCGTTTTGAATTATCGAATAAGTTTAGATCTTGATGGCGCGTAAAATATGTATTTGTACTCTTCAACGTGGACAGGACTATTTGCTTACGCGCCATCATAGATGCTTTATCTGTTGATTAACAGAAATGAGTAAGAACTCTTCCAAAGCTATTCGCCTTGCACAGAATTCATTGCTTGTTCGACTCGTGTGGTTTGCTAGTTACTACGTTGCACGGTTTAATTCGTTATGTATTTGAAAAATAAAAACTATACGTATTGTCAGTACGGTTGACTGACTTACGTAGTAATCGTGTATTTTGAAGTAGGAATAATCTAGAACGAAATTTTAATTCGTTCAATATCGTTTGGTCACAAAATTTCGTCGAGACAGCTTTGAAATTTAACAAGGTAGATATTTATTAAAATAATGGTGCTCATTGGCGATATAAGTTCGATTTTCACTGCCGGTTGGCTATTAGGATGCACAGTGTTGATCGCTACAAAGGACGATATAAAAGCGAGACGATTTCGGGATGTAATATTCATCGTATTCTCGATGAGCCTGTATTTAGTTAGCTTCTTCGTATTGTATATTTTCGTATTCTCGTACAAAGATTTGGATCCGAAAACTATGCTTCTCATTATTCTGAGAGTATTGCTTGCCTATTGGATTGAGTTAGTGGATGCTGCGTTGACAACCCTGTGGAACTGGAAAATTCGGTCCGTTATCTCGCAGTTACGTAATTTTGATCGAGTTACAAAATATCGGGATGCCTCGAAAGGAAACAAGCTGCGATTCTTCTGTCGCATCACAGTGGTCTTCGTTTTTCTATATTGGTGCATAGTTGCATACTTGAGCTACAGGTGAGATTATTATAATGTTGGAATATTTATTCTGCTCATACGAAACTGTTAACTTAGCAAAAAATTTAAATTTCAAACATTTGTCTCGGACGTGATCCGTGTCCGAGAGAAATTCTTGAAACCTCGTTGATGTAATGATCGAAATGCGTGAATATTATACATGGTAAAATTACGTTAAATGATATTTCCTTTTTACAGAATTGAACTCAGAGTACCTGGTTTTCGAGGCATAGTATATTTCTTCGCGGACGCCTCTGTGAATATTCAAGTTCTAATATTTGTCGGAATTTTGTTCCTCATCGAGGAAAGATTTCGTCATCTGTGCAATATCGTGACGTTCTTTAAAGGTAAGTTTATCCCTTATTTATTTCTTAAACATACAACGTTAAAGTCCACGCGTTTATTTACACGCAAGCATTTCGTGTATCATTTTATGCGTCGCTTTATGCATCGCTTTATGCATCGCTTTATGTCTGATTTTACGCATCGTTTCGTTGAATTCAAGTTGCAGTCGATCTTTTACATATCTATTTCCTTTCCTTCGTGGTACGCAGCCAAGAATCTTGCTACTCCGCGAACCCGTATTTTATTTTCTTCCATTTCTAGTTTTTCTTCCGAGCGAAGCCTGCTCGAGGTAACAATGCCAAAACCACGTGCTGCATTATGAAATCGAAGATTTCCATAGATACGTGATTCCGTGCTTCGATCATTTTCCTAATAACAGGAGAACTTCAGATTTCTATCGGTAAGTCAACAGTGTTTAGAGCGACCTGCACTAACGAGTTGTTTGCACATATGTTTAATCGCACTCACCCTTTTTGTCAGATAGTCGAACAGTTGTTATTATCAGTTCCTTTCATTGTTAACAGATGACAAGTTAGTAGTGGCCGATCGATCGATTGGGCATTTTACGCTACAGCAGATATGGTGGCTACATTGCACTCTCGCCAATGCTGCTGAAATGATAAATTCCGTTTATTCCATTCAATTGTTGTTCTGGATCCCGAGTATGTCGTTCAACCTGCTGTCAAGGATTTATTCATTACACGTGTTCATATTAACGGATTTGGGGAAGATCAGGGAATTAATGCTGACATTTGGATGCGCACTGAACCTCATATTGATCACCACAATGTGTCACATAACAGCGAGTCAGGTAGATCATCATGGGAATTAATGTGGAATTCGTCGAAACACGTGTATAATGATGTAACCAGATATTTGTTTAGGCGAATCGTGTCGGTCGGCTCATTTTCTCGCCGAACTCCTCCGTTTCTATGAAACGCATGTTCCTACAGGTAAGCCGAGACCGAGCAAGCTCGTTTGAATATCGATTCGAATGTTGATTTAAGTTCGGATACAGAGGGGAAACACTTTTACTCCTTTCGAGAAACCGATAAATAAGCAACGCGACAATTTTCAGGGTAACTGACGATATAAAGAATGTACGTTCTTGCGACATCTTCCTTGTTTCTCGTCGTTATTGTCTGGTCGTAGTAAGCTGTTTGTTCTACAAATTATTTTAAAATAATTTTATTTTAAATTAATCGTATCTTCTTTTCTTGTCGCGGATTCGTGCTCTTAATAAACCGACACATTCCTGTTTCGCACATTCTGCTTGCTCTCTATCGATCTTTTTAACCGCATGTAATTTCAGGAAAACATTGAAGCTGTGGCGTATTTCCAGCTAAGGAAGGTGCATTTCTTCACTACCATAGGGATAATACGCATCGATCTTCCCCTCCTGCTTTCGGTAAGATTCGACGAGCAGAATGATAGGTTTCTTTGAAAAAAAGAATAAAAAGAAAAGAAAAGAATCAATTAGTTCCTGGATTAATTTGAGGGTAGTTCATTAGTCGATATCAGCGAAAGCGGATATTCTATTTCAACGATGTTCCCGATTAATCGTTTGAATAACTTCGTTGATATTTTCGTTGATATTTTTGCAGATATTTTCGGCAATGACAACATATTTAGTCATTCTTACTTGAAGACTATCTTGGCGACATCTACAACTTTCGATTCGGTGAAAGAACCCGGAAATCAGGAAAGTAAAAATCTACCTATGTATGGAGAAATAAAAAGATATGGCGAAATAGGTATGAATTAGGAAACGAGAGGAAAAGAAACATTAATCATGTGTTTCATCCATTGATCTTTAGCATCGAACGACACGAAACTGTCAATAGAGATCGGTATGTCGTAATAGAACACGCGTGAAATTTACCCCTTTGTGAGTATATTTATGGGTTACTAAACCACGACACAGCAAGCTTTCATCAATATCAATGTAGTCAGTCCTGTTAGGTCGTTGGTATCTTCCTGGATAGAGTTCAGACTCTTCAGTCTAGTAGCTAAAGGCGAAACAATATCAGACAACCGGAGTAATTTTGTAATCCGTTTAAGTCTGCCGCATCACCTCCGGGTTGTCGGCAAATCATATTTGTAGAAATGATTGGATTCTGGAAATTCCATGGCAGGTACAGGAAGAAGTGATAAGTTGTATCTCTGTAAATCTCCTTCTACACTTTTTATCAGATTACTCGTTAGTATTGGTTTTATTATTCGTCGCGAAAGGCTACAATCTAATAAATACATTAAGTTTATTATAATAACATCATCTGTTTCCTGTTCAGCGAAGTTCAAGAGATAAATTAATTTATTCGCGGTAAAACTTGGTGAAGATAAAACGCAACTTAAGAACTTCGTTAAAATGAAAATGAGTTTGTTATTGCGTCGGTGAGTTAGGCTTTATTGAAAGATTATGAAGATACCGGTAGAACGTGGTGATAAATGTTACTTTTAAAAGCGATTAAGAACTAGAAATAAATGAAACTTCTCGTGGTTGGGATGAAGTTCTCGCGGAGAAATCTATCTTCGTTAACACCAGATTTTCGCAGGGAAATATAAAACCGGAAAAATTTATTGTTCGAGAAGAAGAAGTATCGTAGAGAGAAGTTTGCAATGTCTTTGAGCAGGTTCTTCGACGAACGATAACGTCTGTCAGACGTAATGGATCGAGGGATCAAGCCGGGTGGACATTTTTTGAGACCTCGTAGGTGGACAGGAACTCGTTGCACAGGAAGTAGAGGGTACAAAGAGGACGGGAAAGATGTACAGAACGCAGGCGCGTTCGAAGGAACGTGCGCGGGTGGTGTTCACGTCTGTAATACTTTGAAGAGCTCCGGCGGGAGTTGCGATTCTTCCTTTCAGTTTACCGTGGCCCCGCTTCCGAATCTTCTCGCGCGTATTATTCTCGCCGGACGACCAGTTCGACTGTGAGTTTTGAACTGTGTACGTTTCACTGAAAATCGACGCGATATAATAGAACCGGTGTGTAATCGGGTTAACAGTTGCTCGAGGAAGAACTCTGGAACTTATCGCTAATGAAACACGTCGGTCAAGTATGGTGGAGACAGGGAATTTACGATTCATCGACGATTGTTTCTGTTAATTTTAGTGGGTCGTAAAAACAATTAGTAGAATCCAGTTGTTTTCAGTAGTAGAAATTAGGAGTCGTTGAAAGAAGTATCCTTTTAATTCGGTACTTGTGAATAAATGACCGAAGTAGGACTTGATAACTTGTAGGTGATTAGAACTATTTACCCCTACTTGGAAAAGTCAATATTTAAAGCGAACATAGAGGAATCATTGAAAGCACACGCGTGTCTTGGACGTATTCATTCTCGCAATGTTTCGTTCAATACAAACGTCTTACAAGCTTGAGTGGATATCGCGTACCGCGTATGGAGTATTTATACGCGTATACTTCTTTCGGTAAATACTCGTGTTACGAGTGTTTGTACGGCACCGGGATTTATAAATATTCGTATGCAGTTATGTTGTTTGTCTTTTTCGCCGTTCCGGGAAAATTTAGCGGAACTCTTAATCTCCGGTACGTTTGATACCACATTTTGTGTGTAAACACGAATTTTATCGCGCGCGCGAAAAATGGCCATCGTCGATTACCGTATCTATCTTTTCACATGCACGATGATTGCAAATATTTGTTTACAAAATGTAACGGTTCGGTATCGTGAATATTACCCTGAAATTTATTTTCACGGCCTCTACCACGTTGTTATTTAAATAATACAAAATTCCTTGTACGTCGTCGACGTATGCGTAGCATGATATATTCGCATCGTAAACATACAATGCTTATATATGGGGTTCTCTTAGTGAGAACCTGAACCACGTAGCTACGAAAGGCGAAGCAAGGAGGGTGAAGAAATAGGAAGCGGTATTTCGCACACTTATCTCTCTTCGCAAACGAAGAATTGATCTCGTGGTCAAATTATTCGATTATTTCTAGCCTATTCTCTCGATTCATGATTTCGCGAACGGAATTGACCAGGATTGATCGAAGCGTCGACAGCCTCGAATCTTCCAGGTTAAATAGATAACGAAATTGATGTTAACGACCCCCTTGTATGTAACTATGGGATTGATCGACGAGGAAAGTTTCGGGGAAATACCGCGAGTAACGACATGTTGGTACATCCCGCGCTTAACGCGTACGTTTAATCGTTTAGTCGAAAATTAACGTGGCAAATGTCTTCAAATTGATTCTTCGAATGTCCACGAAACTCGTGTGTGTACATCTTTACGATTATTCTACATACGATAGATGGATCGATCGGTAGAGCTGATTTAAGTCCAAGCAGGGAAGTCTTAGACTTCGCTGACTCCATTGTCGAAACGCTTTGAGGTCAAAGTGGATGCATTAAATAAGCGATCGAATGGGACAATGAAGTAACAAGGGTTGGGCCAGTCCCAAGGGTTCCAGTGGAACAAATTTCTTCGTTAATCGTGCGTACGAGAAAAGCAGCTCTCTTTATAATAGCGTAATCGAGTTTACTCGAAGGAGAGAGGATAAACGAATTAGCCGTAGCACCAATAAGTGAAAGCGCACCCTCGAGTAACAATTACCTGATTAATCGTGACTATTTTCCCTGTTGGTCCGAGACCAACGTCCTCTATGCCCGTCGAAGGGATAAATCTCTTTTTCTCGCGTTTCCCCAATCGCGTTAAGTCGTGCAAGGGTGCTTGATATCTGCTGCAACAAAGAGAGAATCATGTCGACGAGTGCGTACAACGACTCGAGGACGATTTCAACTACCTTGCCAGGGTTTAACAGCTCCTACAATGGTACGACGATGCCCATGAACGGAAGCTTCAAAGTGAATATCGAGGAGATACTTTGGTACTTGTACAACAAGTTCCACAGCGAAGCCAATTACTTGTTGATCATCCTCTACGTCCCTGTGATGGCACTCGCGGTGACGGCCAACGTCCTCGTCATCGCGGTCGTTTTAAAGTATCACTATATGCGTAGGTACGTAGAAAACTTTTCCCTCTATCCCGTCAGCGTGTTAATTTAGTCGCGTGAGTTTTCTTTTGCTTCGAAATCTGATAAAAGCTACGCAGAGTGGGGTGTGCTCGGAACTTTTAAGAGAGGACGTGATAAAAGCGGGTTACTTTGAAGTAATTTAAACTTCGTAAGCATCATTATGGAGCACCCTTGAGTCTTGTCAAACGAGATTTGACTTACTTATACGCCGACGATTCTGGATCGAGCTGGTAGTTTGCAGGTCGTTGATTAGGGAAATTACGAACTTGTCATGGCTGTTATTATTAAGATTACGGGTTATTATTAGTGTGTTACTTTTGAAACAACAGTATCGACTCTACTATAGAGTTAATTACAGCTCTGGGCGAGGCAGGTTGTAAGGCTGAACAAATTGACCTGTGAACATCACGATTGATGTAACGTTAGCCTTTAGAATTTCTCAACGCGGCGCGAATCGAAAATTCCAAGACATGAAGTCGAAAAACGGGGTTCGCAAACAGAGGGTTGAATCACGACAACGATAATCGCGATTGGCGAGTTTCAGCGTCGTTCGTTGCAGTTCATCTATCATCCTCGGTTGCTTTGACCGGGGGTAACGAACACATTTTCTTAACCCAGTTTTGCCGGCAGGAATCCAGTGAGTCTGGCTTCGAGAGGGAGACAGACGCGCATTAATTAGAATATATAGATTATGGATAAACTTGGGATGTACAATCGAAGGTGCAGATGGAACACGCGTAATGAGTGCCAACAACGCGTAGGTGCGCCGGGGGAGTGTAAATAATATGGATGCATCGGGCTCGCAAACAATGGAGCGTAAATTGAATTCGCTAATAGAAAGTACCGACTGAAATAGGGAGGGATTACGTGTAGTTGCGGTTTGCGCGTGACAAAGCGTTCATAAATGAACGATGAATTAATAAAACATTTCGCTAGATGATAGTCGAACGGTAAACAGATTACGCAACGAGGATTCGGGTGAATATCGGCGAATTCAGTGGCGTTAATAATCGTGACAGCCGATAGAATGTACCTTGAACATTCTTAGTTGCAAAGGCGAGGAAATGCATACATATGCGCGTGTGCTTATTTCCGATAGCGGAGGAACATCGTGCAAATAAGCGATCGGTCCACATTCGCGATACGCGAAGGAACGTCATGGTTGGCTCGCATCGCGTTTATTTGCAAAACAAAAATTATTGCCAGCTCTCTTCGTAAGCGTGGGATGGAGATCGGTTCGCGGTGAATGCGGATGCGGATTTTGACATTAACCAATTATGCACGTTACACGGATATGGGGGGGGGGGGGGGGCGAAAGTTCCTCGAATTCTCTCTACTTGTTGGACTAGTATTTGAGTTATTTCGCGAAAACTTGCCGCGGATTAGTCCCGAATAGCCATGACGTTCTGACGGACCGTGTAATGCGATTTTCGTAGCGTGCGAGGCAGCCACGAAAGGCACTCGTCAATTTTATTGCACCCTGCATCACGATCCTCGGGTCGTCGTGTCAATTTGGTTGTATGGTGTAGATGACACTTTTATTTTCAGCGTGACTAATTACTTCGTGGTTAACCTGTCTGTGGCGGACCTTTTGGTGACTACCATTTGCATGCCTGTGGCTGTCAGTCAGGCGGTCTCGGTAGTGTGGATTCACGGGGAAGTAATGTGCAAGCTTTCCTCTTACCTGCAGGGTAATTTCAACGATCTCGCGATCCTGTGATCGTCACTCGCTTTACATACCATCAAACCCGATACGTGTCCGAATGTCACCACGTGAGATCGTCGGAAAGCTTTTCGTAAACGCGTTACAGCGTTGAATACAACATTTTCGGACGCGCCATATTTCAGCTGGTTTTCTCGCGGAAATGCAAAGTATCGCGAACAGAAAAGTACCACTGCAACGAATTGTCGCGTTATAACTGAGCAGAATGAACGAGAATTAGTGCGGTTCGTACGTAAAAGGGGTGTACGTATCGGTGTACGGGCAGGTAAATTCACGATTCTCGTGGTTCAATGTTTCCTCGAGCGAGAAGCAACCCCTCACGATTTTAATTTCTTCCTTTATCCGTGGCGACCTTCCAGCCACCCACGTTCAACCGAGACTCTGTTCGATCGAATAAAGGCTAAATGTCTTATTAGAGGCGACCGAGTCCACGATGGACGTCGATGGTGATTTAAAACGTCGACAATGACGACTCCGTACGTATAACTGTCCGATAGGTACCGATAAATCTAAAGCATTCCGTAGGTGTTGCCGTTGCTGCTTCGGTTTTTACCATTACTGTGATGAGCATCGACAGGTACTTGGCGATAAGGAGTCCTATAGCGTTCCGCCGAGTGTTCAATCGTAAAAGTACGGTGCTCGTTATCGTGGCTCTTTGGTTGGTCGCTTTAATTATCTTTGCTCCAGTTCTGAGGGTGGTTAGTATAAAATTTAACTATATCGAAATATCGTTCGCTTTAATTATCTTTGCTCCAGTTCTGAGGGTGGTTAGTATAAAATTTAACTATATCGAAATGTCATATGAATGTTCTTTAATTTCACCGTGGGCGTTTGCATGTGCTTCCATTGCGTCTAGGGTATCGCTCGTAGATATTCGAACGATGAGAAAAAATAATTTCAACCGATCGCAATTGGTTTCGTTAATATCCTGCGAGATAGCGTGGAATATCTTTTATTTGTTTGTCAGTAGGGTAGTTTTTTCGTTGTCCACGCCGAGCAGAGTCAAAATCGATAGAGACGGTTCTTCTTTGAATGTCCCATGCCCCTTGTTATACCGGAGACACGTGACAATTGGTAGCCCCATGAAAAATAACTCTCCGTCCTGTCAGCAGTATCCTTTCCTACGATCAAATGCCATTACTCACTCTCTTGCTTGATTTTATTAAATTTTTATAATTTTATCGGATTATTTTCTCGGCATCCATTGTAACATTCGCTTTTATCTCTGGCAGAAATGAAATTTTGGACATGTATCAAAATAATACCTTCAACGTCGAATAACTACGAACCATATCACTCGTATCAGCCTTTTCATAACATGTATACGCGATAAAAAAGCGAAAGGTGGAAAAAGTTACCGAAATAAAGGGAACTTCACTGCGAATAAATCTCCTTGCAGAGATTTCTGTTTCTAAAGACGGGCCGAGAATACTGTCCAATCTTTTTTCCAGAGGACCCTCCAGAGTCCGGGTATGGAACTTAGCAACATATCTTTCCAAGGATCCTGGAATATCACGAGGAATTTCCCGCAGAATGCCTCGCCCGTCTCTCGCCTGCCACCTGATTTCTACATTTGTTCGGAAGATTTTAAGCCTCTGGGCATCCGCGCGTCGCTTTTCGGCGCTGTGTGCTTCGTGTTGGTTTACGCTATTCCTGGTAAGGCCACGTGATTAATAACAAACTTAACTCGAACATACATTTTCACCCTGTTTCGTTACCTTCTTCGGAAGAGTGAGCGGAGCAAGATTGTACGATTTACTTTTGTCATCCTTCCCGAGAGAGATCAATCACTTCACCCTCGGCCATTTTTCTCCGTCCTTTATGGTTTTCCCTTGTTTGCTTGCTTTTATCCTTAGGTTTCATCGTAATACTGTCCTACTCCATGCTGGGACGGACACTGTGTGCCCGGAAACCGCCTCTGGACTGCGACAGCGTCGAAGGAAGCGCCAGCTCGCAACAGGTTAGCCGAAAAATCAAGGGAACAATGACGCTTAATTTGACAAACGTGGATTTGTCATTTTGGAACTCGACGTTTAACCCCTTCTCGTACAGTATTGTAAATCCCGTGGTAAGGAAATCGAGCCAAACATGTATCTCACGGGTGAGAGACGTGAGCCGATTCGTAGATAGGGCTGAAGGTAAACATCACGGGTCAATTCGTGGTTCATATCCACCGATGTTTTTCTGTCTCAGTTGTGTGTTATTCTCTGCCGCGTTCGGACGAAGTGACTCGTATCTGGACGTGTTTCACGTTGGTGTTGATCATGGCACGTGCCATCGGAAATAAACGGTAAGGCAAGGGATTAACGTCCGACAGGACTGGCGTCGCGCTAAGGACGCACGCTTTAGGCTTTTAATCGTACCATTTCGAGACGAATGGTAACGTATTATCAATTCCCGGAGTCTATTTTACAATCCAGTAGTTAAATTAGAAGAAAATGTCTTCGATTTGAGCTAGTTCGTAAATTTCCATCGGTTTCTAGTCTACTTAGTTCTATCGTCGTGTACCTAATCTTCCTCGTTCACTTCTGCTCGGGATAAATTGTGGAATTTATCATACGTGACACAGAAAATCGCGGGTCTGAAAGGAAGGACAGATTCCGGTATAGCACGTTTTTATCTCTACCTAGCTTTTATGATCGAATCGAGTGTTTGCTCGTGTGATCGACGATTAGACTGTGAGTCGATGTTGATCTAATTCTAGCCGAGTTTACAACTGAGAACGCAACTGCATTCTGTTCGCAGAGTTTCCGGTTGGTACGTGAAAGAAGACGTATTGCTTGGATATTGCTTCTTCTCGCAGTGCTCTTTGCCCTGTGCTGGCTGCCGTATAACGTTTTGATGCTCCTGATCGACCTGGGTGCAGTCGGTGAGTGGTCGTCCATTGATAAAGCACGACAGTCGCTATGCACATTTTAATCGAATATTCCCGTATCGTTGAAGTATATAAAACGTCCATGTGCTCGCTAATAATTCGATATTGCCATTTGTGTCTCGCTGTGCCGTCAAAGAAATAATATCAGCCGAGTATCGGTAATTTTAATGAGCTTTCAGCTTTTCATTGAATTATCGGAAGGATACGATCATCATTGTCACTTTGTTACTCGATTCCCCTGAAATGCAGGATGTCACCGAAATATGAAGCCCTGAAATTGTTCGCAGAGGGAAAAGCACCGATGAATGCCCTCTCCTATTGCCTGTTTCTGGGACACGCGAACAGTGCGTTGAATCCTACGGTGTACTGCTTTATGACTCGCAATTTCCGACGAAGCGTGCTGGAAATTCTCTGCCATGGCACTCATAGGTTGGCACGTCGGAGACCTCGTCGCAGAGTAAGTAGCAACGTGTATTCGACCATATGTATGTCGCAATTCAAGGAAGCCTTTTTAATCTCGCCATGGAACTTTTGTATACGCAAGGGAGAATCACCTCGAATCGATGAAATTTGGACGATATGTCAAAGTGATTTCCTCTGTTGCTCGCACCCCTTGTTTCATCCATCATCCGGTGGTAAATAATTTAAACCCAATTCTGGCCAAATGAGAATACGTTCAGCTGTATCTATCAATTTCATTTGATGAGAGACATACAAGGGTTCGATTCGCGTGGAAGTCTAATTCTATATGCGTTAACGAAAAGCTGCGTTGCTATGCTGTAACGCGGATGGCAGTAGGATATGTTTGTTCTGTTTTGTATTTTTAGCATTTCGCCGTTCAGTTGTATCGATAAAAACGCGTGCGAACTTGATAGCGAAACGGCACAAAAGGCTTCGCGTTTCATTCGGAGGCTGATGATCTCGAGGGTCCTTTGATATTTTATGACACTGCCTAAAATCGTCATTCGTCGCACGACGCGAGCGTGAAAAGGTTGACAATGCGACGCGTGAAGCTGTTGTCGTTGCAATCCTCGAAAAACACAAGGCATCCTCCCTTCCTCTCTGCCTGCCGTTGGAATTTATATGGCACAGCATTCCTTCTCGTACAGTATTGTAAATCCCGTGGTAAGGAAATCGAGCCAAACATGTATCTCACGGGTGAGAGACGTGAGCCGATTCGTAGATAGGGCTGAAGGTAAACATCACGGGTCAATTCGTGGTTCATATCCACCGATGTTTTTCTGTCTCAGTTGTGTGTTATTCTCTGCCGCGTTCGGACGAAGTGACTCGTATCTGGACGTGTTTCACGTTGGTGTTGATCATGGCACGTGCCATCGGAAATAAACGGTAAGGCAAGGGATTAACGTCCGACAGGACTGGCGTCGCGCTAAGGACGCACGCTTTAGGCTTTTAATCGTACCATTTCGAGACGAATGGTAACGTATTATCAATTCCCGGAGTCTATTTTACAATCCAGTAGTTAAATTAGAAGAAAATGTCTTCGATTTGAGCTAGTTCGTAAATTTCCATCGGTTTCTAGTCTACTTAGTTCTATCGTCGTGTACCTAATCTTCCTCGTTCACTTCTGCTCGGGATAAATTGTGGAATTTATCATACGTGACACAGAAAATCGCGGGTCTGAAAGGAAGGACAGATTCCGGTATAGCACGTTTTTATCTCTACCTAGCTTTTATGATCGAATCGAGTGTTTGCTCGTGTGATCGACGATTAGACTGTGAGTCGATGTTGATCTAATTCTAGCCGAGTTTACAACTGAGAACGCAACTGCATTCTGTTCGCAGAGTTTCCGGTTGGTACGTGAAAGAAGACGTATTGCTTGGATATTGCTTCTTCTCGCAGTGCTCTTTGCCCTGTGCTGGCTGCCGTATAACGTTTTGATGCTCCTGATCGACCTGGGTGCAGTCGGTGAGTGGTCGTCCATTGATAAAGCACGACAGTCGCTATGCACATTTTAATCGAATATTCCCGTATCGTTGAAGTATATAAAACGTCCATGTGCTCGCTAATAATTCGATATTGCCATTTGTGTCTCGCTGTGCCGTCAAAGAAATAATATCAGCCGAGTATCGGTAATTTTAATGAGCTTTCAGCTTTTCATTGAATTATCGGAAGGATACGATCATCATTGTCACTTTGTTACTCGATTCCCCTGAAATGCAGGATGTCACCGAAATATGAAGCCCTGAAATTGTTCGCAGAGGGAAAAGCACCGATGAATGCCCTCTCCTATTGCCTGTTTCTGGGACACGCGAACAGTGCGTTGAATCCTACGGTGTACTGCTTTATGACTCGCAATTTCCGACGAAGCGTGCTGGAAATTCTCTGCCATGGCACTCATAGGTTGGCACGTCGGAGACCTCGTCGCAGAGTAAGTAGCAACGTGTATTCGACCATATGTATGTCGCAATTCAAGGAAGCCTTTTTAATCTCGCCATGGAACTTTTGTATACGCAAGGGAGAATCACCTCGAATCGATGAAATTTGGACGATATGTCAAAGTGATTTCCTCTGTTGCTCGCACCCCTTGTTTCATCCATCATCCGGTGGTAAATAATTTAAACCCAATTCTGGCCAAATGAGAATACGTTCAGCTGTATCTATCAATTTCATTTGATGAGAGACATACAAGGGTTCGATTCGCGTGGAAGTCTAATTCTATATGCGTTAACGAAAAGCTGCGTTGCTATGCTGTAACGCGGATGGCAGTAGGATATGTTTGTTCTGTTTTGTATTTTTAGCATTTCGCCGTTCAGTTGTATCGATAAAAACGCGTGCGAACTTGATAGCGAAACGGCACAAAAGGCTTCGCGTTTCATTCGGAGGCTGATGATCTCGAGGGTCCTTTGATATTTTATGACACTGCCTAAAATCGTCATTCGTCGCACGACGCGAGCGTGAAAAGGTTGACAATGCGACGCGTGAAGCTGTTGTCGTTGCAATCCTCGAAAAACACAAGGCATCCTCCCTTCCTCTCTGCCTGCCGTTGGAATTTATATGGCACAGCATAAGCCGCAATTTACGAGGGTGCGAGGGACCGTGAGTATCGCGATTTCATCAAACTCCAATATGAATTCTCCGCGTAAGACCGCGAAATTATAGCTGGCGCGTGACACGTCTTGCACAATTATTTGTCTACGCCGTCCATGAGGAACGGAATTGGCAAGCTCCCGTGCAGTCGCGTTAGCGAAATCGTTGCATTCTTTGTTAAGGAAACAAACGTCGATAAAATGCACGTATGTATATCGTTCGACGTCAAAAGCTCTGACTCCTACCCAATAACTGCTTTTCACGAGATTATTGCAAACATTCTTGCTCGTACATATTTGCGTCCTGTTCTTTGCTTTCGCATTTGCCCTTTCTGTCGTTGATGATTAACTCTATTCGATTCGAAGAAGCAAATGAAATATTAGACCTCGACTTGGATGAAAGCTTGATCGTGCCTGATGGATCACCGTGTCAAATTGTCGTTACGAATTCATAAACGGTTTGCCATTAAGTTTCCAGGCAGTCGCTTGATATCTTAAGCTGTTTGATGTTTGTCCACAAATTTGCTGTCTCGATTTAGCGATGGAACGTCCTTCGGAATCTCTGCAATGGTGAAACGTGTACGTTTTGCAAGTCAAATATGCGCAAGAAAGAGGACAGTCTAAAAAAGGGAGCAATAATTTTAAGGAATGTTTGTCCTACACCTTTGACACTTCCGACGTATTGTTTCAGAGTGTTCAAGGGACAGCCGTGATCGATGATGCGTGCGTAGGGTGCAATGCTAGTAGCTCGATAAGACGGGAGCTACTTCGCAAACGAGGTACGTTATCCGGATGCGGATGTGGACTACCGATCGGCGGTCATCACGCGGTTTTGGCCCTTAGACGAACCACTACCTATAGCACCGGTTACGACAGTTACTACAGCAGGCACAGTCCTCATCGCCGATGTTACATGTTAAGGAGTCTCCGGTCGAGGCCGCAGACAACGGTAGAGCAGGTGCAGGTGAACAGAAATCAGGAAACCTGCTACGAGAAGAACAAAGCCAGTCAGCTCTGTGCGAACACGAAAAGCGTGGAACTCGAATAAATGACTCGATGTAAGGAATAATCGATTTATGCGCGTGCAGAATTTCGGTGTTGTTACGTGTCTGAAAATATATGATGTATATAATGACCGGAGATAGACCGTGATGAGTGAATACACAGGACTCGACGACGATTAAAACGATACGAATTATTTCTGTCAGAATGCTTCCTGATTTACCGAAAATCTTAGCACCCATTAACGATTGTACCAATATTTATATCGATAGCGCGAAATACGACGAAGCAGAGTTTATCTAATTGCTTTTAATTTTCTCGTATTAATTAGCGTATTTAGAAACACGCGTAACGTCTGATTTTCCGGAATCTTGCTACAGCCATCCGCATATCGCTGCAGATTGCCATGTACGATGATTAAAAACTGGAAAGTAAGCACATACAGTAGTTAACGAGGAATCGAGCGAGAGGGTAAGTTTGTTAAGTGAGCCTGAGTGGAAGAGGCAAATAGAGCTGGGTTCGCAAAGGAAAATGTTGAAACAGCGACGAGTGGTTGTACTTTCGACGCTGTTTACTGCATGTCGTTCGCACTCATTCGACTTTACTTGAAACAATCCTTCATAGGAAGGATAGTAAAAGAGCTGCGCGTAACGGGGTCGCAACTATAACAAGAGTGAATGAACATAAACGGTTTGCAAATATTTATCGAGCAAACTCGTTCCTTCTATGGTCTGACGTTGACCGTATTATTCGGTTCGATTAAATTCGAATTGAATCGACTTCGTAAAAATAGACCCGAAGAAAGTTTCGAAGATCAAGACTATTGAATACTTAGAAAATTTATCCCTCTTTTGTTCAATAAAATATCGAATAATCGAAGTGAATATCCTTAGAAAATATCGCATTAACGTCGAATGCTAGTAGAGGTCTGCCTCTTGTGCAGAAGTTACGTGTAGCACCGGAAACGATGTTATTCTCATTCTGTAAAGTGTCGTATCGATTAACTTGACATGCTGTTGACACGTCAAATTCGTTCCCGATAGTTCCTCGACTCATTCCGATTAAGCATTTATATTCCCCAGGCATAGCTTCGATTTACTTAGTTCGAAGGTTCCGGAAGATTAAACGGGAGCTTGATTAATCCTATTAAACAATGTCGTTGCACGGTGAAGGGTGGCATAGAGGGTGAGTCGGGACAAGGAAATTTGTTTTCCGACGCAGAAACTTTCAGAGTGTCGAACGTGAGACTTGATCAAATAAAGTAGGGGATGTTAACGTGATGAGGGTGAGCCGCATATTTTGTTGCTCGCCACATGAACACCTACTGCCTGTCCCTCCAACGAACCATGTAGCGTGTGTTAGAAACGAAGACGATATCTTGAAATTTTTATACGAGCATGTATCTTTCCCCAGAGCCTGTTGCGAGTGAAATTTGTCACGCGTTTCGCTCATGCTACGGATGCTTGTATTAATATTTTCTCAAAAGGCAGCGAAACTTTATCACGTATAAATGGACGCCAATTCTGTTCTCGCGAGCCTGAGTAAAAGCGCAGGAAATAGTGTTTCTGTTAGTGATATTGCTTTCAAAAAAGAAAGCAGCGTGATATCGCGAGACGTAGAATTGCGTCACGCGATGGAAAATGAAAATACGAGGTCGTGTTGGACGCAAAAGAACATTTTTATTGCGACACGAGGCAATCTTTTCCACTTTTGATCGCCAACACTGGAGATAGAGAAACTAACAAGTCGTATTCCTTTAATAAAAATTTATTCCACGACAGATAATACATACGAATTGGACATTATCACATAGCCGCATAAAAGTATCACAAAAAAGTATATTACAAAGAAATTTACACGCTACAATGTCGAGGAATAAACAGTGATCGCGAAGAGGAAAGGAGTGCATCCTTGCTTCTCGCGGGGGACAAGTGTCGATGATGTCATGAAAAATTACATCGTTGCACACCATTTTGGCCCCGTAACAATTGGCTTTATGTTACGTATTTATATATTTGTTCAATGAGAGATTCTCGTGTGTTCTTCAACCCGATAATCATGATACTTCCAAAGGATAACTATATTCTCTTTGATCGAATTCAATTTTACGTCGGATTAACATCCCGAGTGTATAAATCGGCCAGGTTGTTTCGTTTCTTATCTTAGAGCTATAAAGTGATCGTACATCGTAAGATTCTTCTTACCTAAGAGCTTAAAGTACCATTTTCTTCACGAGATCATTATTCGTTCGCTATTTATACTTGCATTTATGACGACTATGTTTATATTAAGGTTCCGGCAGTTAGTTCCCGAAGGGATCGATTGTACGACACGTTGTCGTACTTTTGTTTTCATTGGCTTCTTGTAAAATTTACTTACGTAGGAACGTTAGTTTGCTTATACAGGGTTCGTAGCTTCCGAGAAAAACTCCACCTTCGTAGTCCAAACTGACCTATGCGATTCCAATTTCATGCTGCTTGCTGTTCAGTTTGATTCACGCTCGTGACAAAAGAATAATGACCGTTTATGGATATAATGCGGGAAAGATAGTGCTAGTCTAATCTACCAAGATTTAAAGAGGTCTATAGTGTAAACTACGTGAATAAATCATACGAAAATATGTATGCTCTTCTTACGTCTCATAAATATCTGCGGCTTATCGGCGTTCTTTTTTCGGAAGCTCGGCAATGTTTTACCATCTTATGATTCCATTTCGTAGGTCGTTATACGCGGACGCTGTCAGTACACCGTGACTTTGATTATAACTGTTTAAGACAGACGAGTCACGTATCGACGTCAGTTTCATTTCGTTACTCATACATCTGTCACCGACGTGTTTCGAATATGTTCCTACAACGTTGCATCGATTTGCAACCGAGTTTCTCGTTCGATTATTTCCGACCGAAAGAAAATTAGTAGACCGATGCTGTTTCTCGAGATTACTAGCGTTACTTCGACCGATCATCTGATAATCCGAATTGTTTCTTGTCCGACAAGGGAGAGACGGGGTCTGTTCCTCCACGCGCGATGACGTCTTTTGATTAAGATAGTTTCGGACAGCTAGATTCTTCACGCCGCACGAATTGTACGAAGATCCGGAGCCACTGGTATTTTTGTTATTTCCGTTGCTGGATTTCAGATAATAAGCACACGCTTTTTCCGGCGCTTTCGTGAAGTACTTCGTCTGAAAGCCCTTAGGATTATCGTCGCCGAGCGGAGTTTTCTGTCGATCTTCTCGCCAATTCAGATCTGGTGCCAGTTGATTCGTTGTACGAACCTGTTTACAACTTCTTCTTAGTTTGTCCTGAGTACCAGGCGTGATTTGATTTGGTCTTCTACCAAGTGCACACTGAAATTGTCGAATTTCCATCGAAAGAGATTAGATCTATGAGATTGCATTGTTAAATTGCTGTAGAGGGAACGTGGAGAAATATACGAATGCGTGTGACAGATATTCGATTCGGTCTTGAATAGGAAAAGAAAGAAAAGATACGTCGTGTTTGTGCGAGAAGCGTGAGTTGTGACTGTATAAGTGATTACAGTACCTAAATGAATCCCACGCGACACGTAGCCTGTAACGATAGAATCGTCCGTTTACTTTCAAGCGAAAAGCGCAAGGATTTATACGGAGCAAAGAAATCGACAGTAAAATAGAATAATTATTCGGTGTATGTCCTTACCACCATTGGTTGGTCCGATTGTATAGAACGCTGAGATTTTGATAATGATTGTCGCGGCTGCTGATTCAGATATAGGCAACTTTTGGTCATGCTCGGGGTCAAGTTATTCAGGCTGCCGTTCACGAAATTGTACGTGTACTGAGTTGCCACATTTTTAGCTGGAAGGTTTTAAAGGGTTCATCAGGGTACGATGTATTTGATATAATTATTACATTCACGAAATTCGTCCTTACCAGTCGGCCGAAGATTTTTCGTGTTTTGCGTCTGTGGCTCGATAGACATGCTTATTGATCTCGTTTTTGTAATTCTTTCACCACTGTCAATTTGCGATTGCCGCATTGTCTTTCTGTTCGGTAGTTGCGTACGTACTAAACGGTGAACAGGCCATGTTTCGTTAATTTATCTTCGGTAACTGATCGGTACCCACGAAACAAACTACTGTTGGTATTACCTTCGAAACAGGAGGGTTCGTACGTATCGTTTCTACCTCTTTCCTTCCGTAAATCTTGATACGAGTGTGTAAGATTTTTACCAACAATCGCGTCACCTTGACCAATGACTGGGTTACTGCTACTACTAACTGTTTCCTTCCTGATGTGCTCTGATAGCTGTCTGATCCTGGACTGAGACCTGTTCTCAGATAATTAATACATCGATCTTAGGTGATAGTAATAATCATTTACGGCATAAATACGTCAACCCACATATTCTTATGTTTACGATGCTTTTCACCCATCATCGAATAAAGCTTATTCCTGTATTCGTCGACGGAGAGCTGCACATCGTCACTGAGCAATGGTACCACGCTCGAACCTCTTTCCGGTTCGTTGCTCCTTCTGTGAAAACTGTTAAAAGAATAACGTCGATAACGATGGACTAACTGCTTCCTTCTCGTTAAGAAAATCTATATACTCGGCCACATAAGGGTGCTCTAAAGCTTCCACAGCCGTCAATCTGTGATTTGGATTAAAAACTATCAAGTTGCTGATAAGGTCCAACGCTTTCTCCGACACGTCTGGTAATAAATCTTTCAATGAACGCCTTGGCCCGGTCGGTGTCTTCTCTAATAAATTAGTGCCGTAGCCGGCGCTAACCGAAATCAGATCTGAAAAAGTCACCGAAGAAAATCGATGATTCGTTAACCTCCTATTCTACCCTCGCGGAGATGTGATCGAGGGAAATTACCTTCTCGAGTAGGTGGAGGAAGAGTGACCATTATTCTCTCCACTTGATTAATCGTCGAAGAACCAGGAAATAGCGGCTTCCTAAGCAGCATTTCACCGAGAATGCATCCTAGAGACCACATGTCGATACCCTTTGTGTACCTGAGAGGTATCGGTAACCGATAAACTTACATAAAGAGACATATTCACGTGAGGTGGCGGAATACCTTTTGGAAGCAACGAGTATCTCCGGTGCACGATACCAGCGAGTTGCCACGTAATCTGTGAGTGTAGGATCGCTGGAGGTCTCACCGTCTCCTTCGCCTATTTGAGTGACCGATCGTGCCAAGCCAAAATCAGCGATTTTGCAGTGACAGTGAACATTTAGTAGAACGTTCGACGGCTGAAACGGAGACAAAGGTGGCAGTGATTCCGATGAAAAGGGTAGCCAATGCGCGTAGGCTATCTCACCTTTAGGTCTCTGTGTATCACGTTCCCCGAATGAATGTATTTGATCGCCTTAAACAGTTGATACATGATGAACACCTTGTGGAGGTCCTTCAGGATCTTGCCCTTCTTAATCACCTTGTGGAGATCGGTTTCTGGGGAAACGGGCCGAAACGGGTTTCAGGCCAAAAGTCTGAGAATCGCCGCGGCACGTGACCTTCGTTCGAATTCTTCTTCGGACCGGATAAAACTCACCCATGTACTCGAACACGAGGTAAATGTCCCGGTCGTTGTTCGCCTTGTGAAGACCGATCAGTCGTATGATGTTGTCGTGGTTGGCGAACGACAGTAGGAACATTATCTCACGGAAAGTGCGCTGTGCATCCGTCTGGTTTTTGAAGGCATCGAAGATCTTCTTCACCGCTACCGTTTCCTTGTTTTTCTTGTCTATCGCCTTCCACACGATCCCGTAAGCCTATCGAGGAGTCGATCGGACAATGGTTGATCGGTAATATTTTTGGATTATGACGATAAAGCAAATTGCAAGATGTTTCGAAAGTTTACTATAAAACATATTGCGAGATGTTTTGAAAGTGATTGTCCGCAATATTTGAGAGAACTGATATTCGTTATCGTGATTATGATAAATAACGGTACGAGTATCGATTATTTCCGGTTATACTTTTCCGCGACGGACGTACCACGACTTTTATTGATAATTGGGTATATACGCGCGACCGGTTTATTCCAGAATGTCCATTGTAATATATAAAAAGCAACACTTCTTTTTAATTGCACGATAAAGCAATCGCTTATTAAATTATTTTCGACACGGTCTTCAAAAAATTGCCGATTATACGTAATCGGATAGAATTTGAAAAATAACGTAACGGAAAAAATCGTAGATCGTTTTACGTACCGGAATTTTGAAATTCGCTGCAAGTATGCCGATGATAAAAATAAGAAAATGGAGAAAGAATTACCCCCTTGCCGAGACGTCGAATAATGTCATAATGTTTGCTGACGTGTGCATCGATCTCCAAAACCTTTTCGATGCTATTTTTTGACGACATCGCGACGAAAGGTGGACACGATGAAACTTCACAAACTATTACGGCGATCAGAAGGATTCAGGACGTACGAAAATTTTCAAACGGAAACGGCGTTCAAGGACCGTAACGCATTCACATCTTTACACATCAGGAAGGAAGTTCTACTTGATCAGTTTTTTCATTCGACCTTTGACACATCAATGTGGCTATGTTTATAGAATTCTTGTCAGTTACTATGACGACAATGTCCAATGCTACTCATGGTTACCAACGACATCGCGTGACTACTTGTCCAATGTGTGTACGAAATATATCCAAGGAAAAGGAAAATAATTAAAGCGTTTAATTTTTACGTTTAAAAACGTATATTCTTTTTTTCGAGTCTTGTACAAACTGTAGCCAACGTTATGAATCTTGTTCGACATTTACACGCTTAATAGTTACGCTTGTTAAACAATATAATTCTTTTTCGCACTGAAAAACTACATAATCGATATACGATAATCAAAGGAATTTTTACAATATTTAGAATACACTAAGAGTGAAAATGCATAAATTGGAAAATCAAAATTTATAGCTTTCTCAAATATTACACAACTTGAAATGCGTACTGGTCCCGAAAACGATTACAGATATTCTACCATATAAATTGAGATAAGAGTATGCTATCATATAACAATCTAATCTAAGTGCTGTGTTTGAACGAACGATACTTCGGAAAAACAGAGTAAATCGTTCGTTTAAATGCCGATACAGGAATCTTCTGACACTTCATTAAAGATAAAATTTTTTTTTTCTTAACAGTAATAAACTCTCGTGTGGTACTTTGTTTCATACTGCATGAAATTATAGTTCCTTGGATGAAAGACTGTATGTTTAGGAGATTGTAAACATACAAAGTCTTAGTATCTCAAAGAAACTTTTAAGTACACACACATATAGATATTTGTCATTTCTTTTTTTCTTCTTTTTTCTTTTTAATTTACCGAATAAGTATATAGGCTAATGTTTCTTCCAATAGCCTTTAGCTGGTAAACAATATGCGTAACATTCACTTCCTTGGTTGTTGGATGATTATGGGACGTGAACAATGAATTGGACGTACAACATGAGTTGGTATAGGCTTTTCGTGGAAGACTTGTACAGCTTCTGGAGGAAAATCTGCATTTCCCTTTGCAGGCACTCCACTAATCATCAGTCTTTTAGGTGGACTGAAACATAATCAGAATATATCTATGTATAT